TTGCTGTGAGGTTGGGCTGCGGTCCCAGGCCAGGAAAAGGGCCAAGGGGGCCACAGCTGTAAGCAAGAAGATTCTGAGAGTCCCCACCCACGCCGTCTCTGACCTGTGCCCACGGAACGTCAGCTTGGTGTATCTAATCTAATCCCACCGATCTGACAGTTAGATCAGAAGAACCTGCGTGCAGAACGAGGGTGACCTGGCTTCTGTAGCAAGCACACCTGATGTTTTCAGTTCAAGGAAAATAATCTTTAAATGATTACTTTTGTTTCTCCCTACGGGCTTCCCTCGTAGCTCAGTTGGTAAAGAATCCGCCTGCAATGCAGGAGACCCGGGTTCAGTTCCTGGGTTGGGAAGATTCCCCTGGAGAAGGGAATGGCAGCCCACTCCAGTATTCTTGCCTGGGAAATCCCCGTGGACAGAGGAGCCTGGCGGGCTATTCTCCAGGGGGTCGCAAGGGTCGGACACGACTTAGCGACTAAACCACCAGAGGCACCGTCTGCTTTCAAAATGAATGACTGTTCTGACTCACATGTGGCTCTCAAAATTGAGGGCTGTTGACAAGCCCCATCGTTTAGTCTGCCTTCAGAAATGGTGCATTTTTCCCTGACCTTCCTTTGTCCTCATGGTGAATTTCAGAGTTCGCTCACCGAGGGCATGCCAGCCTTTCCTCACTCCCCAGTCCCCCCAAGAGCTATTATCTTCAGATATGTTCCCAGCTGGCTGCCTCCAGGTCTTTGCAACCACACCCTACTCGTGCGCTCGCTCTTTGCAGGTTAGTGACCCCAGGTCAGAGGGGCTTGGCCCCTGAAGTCCTCATCTCACCTTTAGATATCCTAATGTGATTCTTTAAAAAAATCACTTCTGGAATTAGAATCCTTTTAATGGAAGCATTGACAATTCTATCTACCCTGCTTCTTCACATTAGTATTAGTAAGTGAAAGTGAAGTTGCTCAGTCATGTCCGACTCTTTGCAACCCCATGGATTGTAGCCCACAGAATTTTCCAGGCAAGAGTACTGGAGTGGGTTGCCATTTCCTTCTCCAGGGGATCTTCCTGACCCAGGGATTAAACCCAGGTCTTCCGCATTGCAGGCAGAGGCTTTACCTCTGAGCTACCAGGGAAGCACGACAATCTTTCACACAGCATTGTAGATCAACTATACAATGAAAAAAATACTTCACTTTCTCTGAGAGCTTCCTGTTGGAGCCCAGCTTAAAGTGCTGAGCTAAATGCTTCATTTAGGATGCCCTTCAGTCTTCACGCAGGAACCTTCCGAGGAAGCTGGGGTTACTGTCCCTATTTCACGGGAGCAGGACGACAGAAGCTCAGAAAAACGAAGCCGTTTGCCTGAAAGCACACACTTAGTGGTCAGGCTGGGAGTCAGACTTCTTCCCCCAGGACGCCCGCCGTGGGCCGGTGGTTAAGACTCCGCACTTCCACTGTCAGGGAGGGGGGTCAGGGGTCGCATCGCTGCTCGGGAACTGAGTTCCCACAAGCCATACGGTGCAGCCCAAACAACAGCAGCAACAAAACGAGCAAACGCACCAGGGTTCTTCCCACTCTTGAGGTTCTGCTGCTCCTCATCTTACACAGAAGAGTGCCAGTCGCTCAGTCGTGTCCGACTCTGTGCGACCCCATGGACTATAGCCCACCAGGCTCCTCTGTCCATGGGATTCTCCAGGCAAGAAAGCTGGAGTGGGTTGCCATTTCCTTTCCCAGGGGATCTTCCCGACCCAGGGGTTGAACTCGGGTCTCCCTCATTGCGGGCAGATTCTTCACTGTCTCAGTCATGGGGCTCCCCTGCACAGAGGGACCCTGGCTGATAGCTGGAAGATCCTGTGAGGCACCATTGCCCTGATCACTGCATGGTAAGTCTGCTAAAGGGTTCAGAATGAGCGCAGACACCAAACCAGAGGTACCCTCATCTGACGTGCAAGAATCCACAGCCTAACGTCTGTCTCTGCTGAGAGTTTCCCACTGCGGTCCCCGGACTTCAGAGTCATCGGTGGCCATTAGTTTTACCCTGCCACGTTCAAAGGAAGAGTCAGATGGTCAAATCGCCGGAAAGCAAGCTATCGCCAAGGGGGTTGGGGGAAAACTGCTCTGTGTAGGGTCGGAGAACACGGAAAGCCAGTTTGGAAGCACCAGCCACTTCCTACAGCCCAGCTGGTCATCCCCATTGCTCAGGGGGACATTCCTGAAACACTGCAGACACTTCCAGGGCAGGGATAAGCAGCACAAGTGCAACTTGCTCTGAAGTCTTGAATAAGTTGTGAGACTTGTGTTTTCCTAGTTTAGGAAGAAGCTGTGGTAGACATCATGTCCGTCCCAGGGACAGCCCCTCCCAGATCCCCGCCCCGACCTCTCGCTCTCCATGGCAGCAGCGACTTGCAGGCATGGTCCTGGACCACCCCTGTGGGCCCGGTGTAACCACAGGGCGCCTGGTGAGACGGAGGCGGGAGGGTCAGAGAAGGCAGGGCGATGCGGAGACAGAGGTGGAGGGATGTGCTTTGAAGATGGATGGCAGGGCCACAGGCCAAGGAATGGGGGTGTCTCTGGAAGGTGGAAAAGGCCCAGAAACAGATCCTCTCCCGGACATTCCAGAGAGAGGACAGACCTGCCCACACCTAGATGTTAGCCCCACGAGGCACATTCTGGACTTTTGACCTCCAGAACTATTACGATGATAAATTCGTGTTGTTTTAAGATACTAGTAATTTGTTACCGACCCAGTGGACATGAGTTTGCGCAAACTCCAGGAGACAGTGAAGGACAGGGAAGCCTGGCGTGCTGCAGTCCACGGGGTTGGAAAGTGTCAGATGGACTTAGCGACTGAACAGCAACAGTTTGTTACAACAGCAATAGGAAACTAATATGATTCTGCTTGGAATCCAGGGGTGAAATTGACCTGGGCGCCATGCCTCTCTGTCATGAACAGGCCTGGGGTCATCTGGGTAACTAGGAACATAAATTGTATACAATTTGACTCAGCCGTGTGCTTATCATGCTAGGTACTTAAAGGTAGTATCTATTCATCCAAGATTACAGATGTATCCATTTAATTTTATCTTTAAAATGGTGAATTTTTTGAAAATCGCTAATGGAGAGTAAGCCACCGAACTTCTAAAATCTTAGCTGCGCTATAGTTTGAGCAGCTTCTGTGGATCGGCACATCACATGGTGGCAGAGGAAGCCGGCAACCCCAGGAAAGAGTCCAAGGCTGCCAGCTGGCTGCCCACTGAGGCCAGCGCGAGTCCCAGGCGAGTCCTGGGTGTGCCAGGGGTCCCCCGAGCCCAATTCAGCATCTGGGGCTCCCCGTGGCCCGGCTGGTTCTAAGCTCACCTCGGTGTCTCTGTTGGCTTGGCTTTCACTGAATGCAGGGGAGTCTCGGGGGCCTTAAAGGTGCCTGCCGTCCACCACGATCTCACCTCCCCTTCAAGGCGCAGACCACTGATGCCACCTCACAAACCCTTTCCTGACCCTCCAGTGAGCCGTGGCCCCCGGGGGCGTCTCCACAGAAGCACTCTGTCTCCAGGTCCAGCTGTTTGTGTGTCTAGCGTGGCCCTCCCACCAGCGGCTGAGCCCTGGAGGCCGGAGGGCCTGTCCCCTGCCTTCTGTTTTCCCCCCATGCCCGGGCCGCCCGGCAGACACTGCAGGAGGAGTTGATGGGGGGCTGGCGGGAGCAGAGGGCCCGCGGCCCAGCAGGCAGGCGGCACATGACATGTGCCACCCAGTGAGGTGCCCGCAGCCATGCCCTGCCCTTGCCGCATGCAAGCCGGCCGTCCCGACAGCTGGCCTGGCCACGAGCCTGAGCCCCTGGAAACCTGCCCCAGAGGGTGGGGGAACAGCATGGGGCAGCCCAGGGGGGCTTCTTGGGGGCCCCAAGTGGCCGTCTCGGGCGCTCCTGTCAGCTGAGCAAGCCTGAGACAGTTCAGACGTTCGGAGGCCGGTCCTCCCCACGACTGACTTCAGCTTTACCTCCAGCCTGGGGCAGCATCTTGCGACCCCACCTCGCTCCCTGCACCCCGCCACTCGCTCAGGCTGGACCCCCGTCCCCAGGCCTGGGGAGCTTGGGGGGAGGACCCGCAGCTGTGGGGTCGTCTCCTCTGTCTCTCCTCTCTCTCCCCCGCACTGTGTCTCCCCTCATTCACGGCTCTGCTCCGTCAGCTTTGAGACCTAGAACCGCCTGGGGCCCCAGCTTGTCCTGAGAGTGTGTTTCCAAATTAATGCTTCCCGAGTGTGGTCAGTGAGTCATCTGTGGCCTCTGGCTTTCTTCCAAGCGGCTGGTTGCTTTCAGAAAGCAGGTAGGAAAGTGCTGAGGGTTCAGAGTGTTTCAAAATTTGAAATGTAGGATTGGTAGTCTCATTGACAGGAATCCAGGGATGTTCTGAATTACTGTTGCATTCCTGAAAGTTGTAGGAGTGCAGTCAGAATGACCTTCATTGGTTCTGTAAAACATGGTTGACAAAAGGAAAATTTTTACATCATTCTTTTTTTTACATCCTATTAAAAAAGGCTTATTATGTAGTTGACTTATTATATAGTGCTTATTTACAAAAAAATGAATTATGGAACAAACGATTTCTTGCCATGTGAAAGCAGTGTTAAGAATATCTGTAAGAATAGTGAGGCTCCAAATAAATTTCTGAATGGAAATAATGCAGTGAGAATAACTCCAATGTAAAAAATGAGCAGAATCCACACATAGAATGGTTTTAGGCAAGTAGGTAAAAACAGCTGTGTTTGGACAGAAAATATAATAATAAATTTCCAATACTTGGGCTTTCTCCATGACCCATGAATTCTTAGTCCTTCAGTTCAGTTCAGTTGCTCCCTCGTGTCCGACTCTTTGTGACCCCATGGAGCGCAGCACGCCAGGGCTCCCTGTCCATCACCGACTCCTGGAGCTTGCTCAAACCCACGTCCATTGAGGCGGTGATGCCATCCAGCCATCTCGTCCTCTGTCGTCCCCTTCTCCTCCAGCCCTCCGTCTTTCCCAGCATCAGCTGGGCCTCGGCCGTACACTTTCCGAGGTTACATCGTAGCTGCCGGCCCGGGACTTGGCTTCAGGACCCCTCTTCCTGGGACGCAGGCACGCGGTCACAGAAGAACGGCACACGTCGCCCTTGGGCGGGAGCTGGCCTGCGCTCCGCACGTCAGTGGCTTCACCGGGTGCCCGTGGCGGCCCCTCCCGTTCCGCTTTCGCTGCCCTGGCTGCTGCGCGGCGCCCGCGGGCCGCCTGACGAAGCGCTTCTGTGAATGCAGCGCGTCCCTGCGGCGGCCGCTGGTGCAGGCTTGCCCGCGGCGCTGCCACCCGGAGCTCCTGCCCAGGCTGACTGAGTGGCGCCTCGGTGGTTTTAGCGGCTCACTTTCCTGTAGCGCAAAAACGGCCATCTCATAGTGAAAAGCAGCCTGCTCCGACTGTTCGTTTGCGCTCTCCGAAGAGGCACCATGTTTGGATGAAAGGGTTTGAGGGTGACACAAGCTGATAAAATTTCATAATAAAATATACTAAGGACATGGAACAACAGACTGGTTCCAAATTGGGAAAGGAGTACGTCAAGGCTGTATATTGTCATCCTGCTAATTTAACTTACATGCAGAGTACGTCATGAGAAATGCTGGGCTGGAGGAGGCACAATCTGGAATCAAGATTGCTGGAAGAAATAACAATAACCTCAGATATGCAGAGGACACCACCCTTATGGCAGAAAGTGAAGAAGAACTAAGGAGCCTCTTGATGAAAGTGAAAGAGGAGAGTGAAAAAGCTGGCTTAAAGCTCAACATTCAGAAAACTAAGATCATGGCATCTGGTCCTATCAGTTCATGGCAAATAGATGGGGAAACAGTGTCAGACTTTATTTTGGGACACTCCATAGTCACTGCAGATGGTGACTGCAGCCATGAAATTAAAAGACACTTACTCCTTGGAAGGAAAGTTATGACCAACCTAGACAGCATATTAAAAAGCAGAGACATTACTTTGCTAACAAAGGTCCGTCTGGTCAAGGCTATGGTTTTTCCAGTGGTCATGTATGGATGTGAGAGTTGGACCATAAAGAAAGCTGAGCACTGAAGAACTGATGCTTTTGAACTGTGGTGTTGGAGAAGACTCTTGAGAGTCCCTTGGACTGCAGGGAGATCCAACCAGTCCATACTAAAGATCAGTCCTGGGTGTTCATTGCAAGGACTGATGTTGAAGCTGAAGCTCCAATACTTGGCCACCTGATGCAAAGAGCTGACTCATTTGAAAAGACCCTGATGCTGGGAAAGATTGAGGGCAGGAGAAGGGGACGACAGAGGATGAGATGGTTGGATGGCATCACTGACTCAATGGACACGAGTTTGAGCAGGCTCTGGGGGTTGGTGATGGACAGGGAAGCCTGGCGTGCTGCGGTCCATGGGGTTGCAAAGAGTCTGACACGACTGAGCAGCTGAACTGAGCTGAATCTTTGACCTTGCCCCTAGCCTGGCACAATGCCCAGCGCAGAGGAAGTGCTCAGTTAACCCTTGACCTGCCCCTGTGCAAGAGTCCCTGGCGGGTGACTGAGGGGGAATGGCCAGCCTGCCTTTCTGAAGTGGGCAGAACCACTGAGGGACATTCACAACCATTCAAAACAGGCTGACATCTGACAGAGACAAGCTGATCCTTGCTAAATACAAAATAGTCCAGTTGCTTTTTTCTCTATTTTTGTTAGAGATTGTCCATGTAAATTTATCCAAAACCTGAATATCTCTTAGGTGAGCTTTCACAGTAACAAGGCAGGATCAATCCCTCCTTGGATGTGTGGTGAAGATAATTACTAGGATAGAGGTAGAGGTCGAAAGGTGTCTCTTAGGTTTAGTAGAAAGTTTTCTTTCTGTAGTTCTGTTTTCTGTTACTTGAATCTACCGGCTCACTTTCTTAGGTCCCCTTCACACACACACACACACACACACACACCCCTCCCCAGGGCAGCAGCTGACTCATCAAGATGCTTGCTTGATACAGATATCAGTAGCTCATGAAGATAAACAAGGAGACGACTTTGGTTTCTGTTTTAAGTTACCAAATGAGATGCCTGGACAAGCTACAGAAAATTGAATGTCACCAAATATTTTTATGGCCATGAGATGGTTGGACGGCATCACTAACTCGATGGACATGAGTTTGAGCAAGCTCCAGCAGTTGGTCACAGACAGGGAAGCCTGGCGTGCTGCGGTCCATGGGGTTGCAAAGAGTCTGACACGACTGAGCAGCTGAACTGAGCTGAATCTTTGACCTTGCCCCTAGCCTGGCACAATGCCCAGCGCAGAGGAAGTGCTCAGTTAACCCTTGACCTGCCCCTGTGCAAGAGTCCCTGGCGGGTGACTGAGGGGGAATGGCCAGCCTGCCTTTCTGAAGTGGGCAGAACCACTGAGGGACATTCACAACCATTCAAAACAGGCTGACATCTGACAGAGACAAGCTGATCCTTGCTAAATACAAAATAGTCCAGTTGCTTTTTTCTCTATTTTTGTTAGAGATTGTCCATGTAAATTTATCCAAAACCTGAATATCTCTTAGGTGAGCTTTCACAGTAACAAGGCAGGATCAATCCCTCCTTGGATGTGTGGTGAAGATAATTACTAGGATAGAGGTAGAGGTCGAAAGGTGTCTCTTAGGTTTAGTAGAAAGTTTTCTTTCTGTAGTTCTGTTTTCTGTTACTTGAATCTACCGGCTCACTTTCTTAGGTCCCCTTCACACACACACACACACACACACACCCCTCCCCAGGGCAGCAGCTGACTCATCAAGATGCTTGCTTGATACAGATATCAGTAGCTCATGAAGATAAACAAGGAGACGACTTTGGTTTCTGTTTTAAGTTACCAAATGAGATGCCTGGACAAGCTACAGATAATTGAATGTCACCAAATATTTTTATGGCCATGAGATGGTTGGACGGCATCACTAACTCGATGGACATGAGTTTGAGCAAGCTCCAGCAGTTGGTCACAGACAGGGAAGCCTGGCGTGCTGCGGTTTATGGGGTCGCAGAGAGTCAGGCACGACCGAGCGGCTGAACTGAACTGAAGTATTTTTACAGAAAAGAAAGAAAAGTCGCTCAGTCGTGTCAGACGTTTTGCGAGCCCATGGACTGTAGCCTACCAGGCTCCTTAGTCTATGGGATTTTCCAGGCAAGAATACTGGAGTGGGTTGCCGTTTCCTTCTCCAGGGGATCTTCCTGACCCAGGGATTGAACCCGGGTCTCCCACATTGTAGGCAGACACCTTACCGTCTGAACCACCAGGGAAACCGTGTTGAATTCTGACGCAATCTTGACTTTCCAATACATTCTGATTATCGAAAAGTAAGTTAATGGGAGTAAATAAAGCATGTAGTGGACACCTGAACAGCTTAATCTGCTTCTTAACTGGACACGGGACGGAAGGAGCTGGTTCGCTGGAGCCATGGCTCAGTCATGTCCCAGGCTGCCAGCAGAGGGCGCCCGCCGCCAGGCTCCCGCGCTTCAGCCGCCAGCAAACCTGATGAGGGGCGGACCCGACTGTGAGCCCCTTTTGAAAACATACCATATTTTTAAGAAGGGTCGTATAGCTGAAGTCGATTGATTTCATTATGCTTTTAGGAGAGGCTGAATAATCCCTGGGGAATAAGAGGTGTATTTTGCTCAGGGGGTGTGGCCCATGGACCCTGGGGTCCTAACCCACTTGCAGGGGCTTGGGAGATCAGAGTCTTCTAGAACGCTGTGAAGTTGCTCAAGTCGCCTCCGACCCTTTGCGACCCCGTGGACTGCAGCCCACCAGGCTCCTCCGCCCATGGGATTTTCCAGGCAAGAGCACTGGTGTGGGTTGCCATTGCCTTCTCCAGGGGATCTTCCCAACTCTGGGATTGAGCCTTGGTCTCCCGCATTGCAGGCAGACACTTTACCATCTGAGCCACCAGGGGGGTCCCCGGAATGCTGAGACGTGTTTGGCCTTTCAGGAGGCTGACGTTTGCCCTGTAGGTGGATGGAGTTACTGGAGTCCCGGTGTGGACCAGGGTCTTCACCGCCCTGCTCTCACTGCCGAGGAAGCAAACCCAACACTTCACTTAAGAGGGCCCTGAAGAAGCATCAGGGTTAGCAGTTTTCCTTAACTTTGATGCTTACCGAGGACTCCAAAGAGCTTCTGTTTGTGTGGCTTTTCTCTATTGATACTAGCATATACCCATATTCAAAGTTAACGCTGTGAAAACCACTTATGAACTCATTTAAAAGAACAGTGATAAGCCCATTTTAAGCAATGTAAACAACATACTGCCATGAAAATCAACTACGTTTTCCAAAACAAAAAAGTTAAGAGTGGCACTGATTTACATTTTGCAAGTCTCTTTAATGTCCATCTTGATAGAAGACAGTGGATCTTCAAAACTGCCTGTGTGTTCAGCCTGCTGAGATCTGCTGCTTGAGGGGTGAGGTGTGAGTGAAAGGTGTCCTGAGACCTGAGGGCGTGAGAAAAGGGGTGAGGCGATGGGGGGCACAGTGAGGGGGGCACAGTGAGGGGGGCATGGTGAGGGGGAGGGGGGATGCCGTGATGGGGGGCAGGGGGGCAGAAGCAGAGCACCCCCGCTCCATCTGAAGACACAGGGTTGCTGGGACCCCAGAGAAGGTGTGAGATTGTTGCAGGTCGTTGGCACCAACGGGAGTGGATGGGAATCATGAGTCAGACCTGGAACAAGTGATGGGAATGCAGATTCTAGACCCCACCACAGCCAGGGGAAGAATAAGCCGGGCAAGGAGGGGCCACAGGCCAGCCGCGAACAGGGACGCCGGGCCTGCAGTGGCTTGTGGGGTCCTGATGAAACACCACAGACGGGGCTTAGACAGCAGGAATTCACTGTCCTGCAGCTGGAGGCTGGAAGTCAGAGATCCAGGTGTCGGCCCTGGTGGTTCCTCCTGAGGGTGTGGGAAGCTCTCCCAGCTTCTGGTTCAGTTCAGTTCAGTGGCTCAGTTGTGTCCGATTCTGCGACCACATGGACTTCAGCAAGCCAGGCCTCCCTGTCCATCACCAACTCCCGGAGCTTACTCAAACTCATGTCCACTGAGTCAGTGATGCCATCCAACCATCTCATCCTCTGTCGTCCCCTTCTCCTCCTGCCCCCAATCCCTCCCAGCATCAGGGTCTTTTCCAATGAGTCAGCTCTTCACATGAGGTGGCCAAAGTATTGGAGTTTCAGCTTCAGCATCAGTCCTTCCAATGAACACCCAGGCCTGATCTCCAGCTTCTAGCGGCTGCCGGCAATCTGGGTGTGGTCCGAGCACAGAAGCATCCGCTCCAGCTCTGCCCTTATCTTCGTGGGCTGTAGTGTCTGTGCCTGCTGGCCCAAGTTCCCCTTGTCTACAAGGAGAGCGGTGACATCGGTCCAACCCACCTCAGGCCGGACCTCATCTTAGCTAATTCCAGCTGCACTGACCCAGTTTCCGAATGAGGCCATTACTAGGGAGCGGGGTGAGGACGTCAGTACGCTGGTCTGAGGATGCAGCTTGCCCAGAGTAGGCCTGCGGGAATCTCCGGCCCCGCGGTGTTTCCTGAGGCCATGTGCTGGGCCACCGGTGCAGATGTGAGGACTGGATGGACAGGCTGACCTGGAGCAAACCCAAGGCAGGCCCGCTTCCAAGGCCCTCACCCAGCATGGGCAGAAGCGTCTCACCCCGTCCCCCTGCCTCCCACGGTGCCCCGGACCATCTGCGACCTCCCCCTAGAAGGGCGATCAGCGGAGGTGAGCCTGGGACTCAGCTGCCCCTGGAGCGGGGAACCCCGTGGCTGCAGACGGAACCACCACTGATTTTCGTTCCACGTCGGAGGAAAGTCCTGCTGCCAAAGTCACAATCAGTGATGTTCCCCGCGCATCACGGGCCACAGCTGCGCACACCTGGCCAGATCGCCGTGCCCTGAGTGGTCAAAACACAGTCGACTCTTCAACGGGAGGGGTTGGGGCGCTTGCCTTCCTCGCAATTGGAAAACTAACTTATGCCCCCCAACTCCCACCTGAGTATTCATGGACCCGCAACCTCAGAGTCAGCACCCCTGGCCCACGGAGGACTGTAGCATTTACACTGGAAGCCATGTAAAGGTGGACGGGAGAAGTTCAAATCCACTTTGTTCAAGGGTCGCCTGTATTTTAATTAGCTGTCAATGGCTATAAACCAGGACGTTCTACGTACCTAGACGTCCAGGGAAGGATCTGGAGCTCTGGCCTCTCCAGCCTGACTCCCCCGGGGGGTTGGGGGCCCCGGTGCTCACAGCCCCTTTCCTCTTGGTTCTCTGACTCTGGGATCACGTGAGCTGGCTTCTCTGGGATGTGGGGGATGCTGGGGTTGGGCTGGGCTGGCAGGGGTGGACGGGAGCCGTGTTTTCACTGAAATTGGAAAAGGCTGGACGGGGGGCACAGGTTCAAGAGCAGGGAGGGTGCAAGTCCTGTGAGGGGCATTATTCCCGGGATGGTCCTCACCTGCCCCCTCCTCCTCATCGCTGGCCGGGATCCTGGTTCCAGTCACCTCGAAGGAGAGTCAGGCGATGCCGCGGGGACAGAGAAAGGAGGCCTTAAAACCTGCAGCGCAGGGTCCCATCGAGCGCGTCCTGGGTTCCCCAAACGCTGCTCCGCTGCTCTCAGACGTGACGTCCTCCTTCCCGAGTGTTTGCCGACCTCCTGTGTCTCTACGACAGAAGCAGTCAGCACCCAGAGCTGGTCGTGCCATTGCTAGACGCCAGGGAGCAATGCCCACGAGATCATAAAATCAGATGACATAGATGATGGCTTTTAAAGTAAAATCAGAAAGCTCTTTCGTGGCTTGTGACACAGTGCTTTGGTAACTGGAATGGATAAAGGTGATGGTACTTGGGTTAATTTCCTATCACTGATGTGACAAATGATATAGTGGCTTAAACACACTTGTTATCTTGCAATGCTGACGTCAGACGTCCAAGATGCTCTCCCTGGACTGAAATCAAGAGCAGCTTCCTTCTGGAGGCTCCAGGGAGAGTCTGTCTCCTGGGTTTTTTCAGCTTCCAGGGGCTCCTGCCCTCCTCACCCTCAGCCCCTTCCTCCATCCTGCACGGGGGCTGGCTGCATCCCTCTTCCTTCACAGACGCTCTTGTGCCTCCCTCTCCCATATATGTAAGGAACCCTGGGGTTGTACTGGCCCGCCCCCAGCCCCCGCCCCGGACAGACCAGACTACTCATATCTCAAGGTCAGCTGATCAGCAACCATTCGCCACCCCCTCCACCCCTGACCCCACCACCTGCTAACCTGGTTCCTTCTTGCCAGGCCAGATGACACATCCCGGGTGCTGTGGTGAGGATGTGGACATATCCAGGGGGCCCTTCTTCTGCCAACCTCAGTGCCTTATGGGTTCAGTTCAGGACTTAAGTAGTCACGTACAGATGTGAGAGTTGGACCATAAAGAAAGCTGAGCGCCAAAGAATTGATGCTTTTGAACTGTGGTGTTGGAGAAGACTCTTGAGGGTCCCTAGGATTGCAAGGAGATCCAACCAGTCCATCCTGAAGGAGATAGGTCCTGGGTGTTCATTGGAAGGACTAATGCTGAAGCTGAAACTCCAATCCTTTAGTCACCTGATGTGAAGAGCCAACTCATTGGAAAAGACCCTGTTGCTGGGAAAGACTGAAGGCGGGACAACAGAGGATGAGATAGTTGGATGGCATCACTGACTCAGTTGAGATGAGCTTGAGCAACCTCCGGGAGTTGGTGATGGACAGGGAGGCCTGGCGTGCTGCAGTCCGTGGGGTCGCAAAGAGTCGGATGTGACTGAGTGACTGAACAGCAACCATAAGGAAGCGGTGCCCGGAGCCCCGGCGGGTGTTGGCAGTGACCCCTCCCCCCATCCCAGTGAGGCCCCCCGCTGGGCTTCTGCAGCTCTGCCCCCGCCTCTGAGGGTGTAGAATGAGCTCCCAGGAAGTGCCGGAGGATGACTCTCAGGGTTGTGTTTCAGATTCTCAGGATAAACTTACTGGGTGCTTACAAAGTACAGTTGTAGATAACAGCACGCAGTAGCAATGACGGGGCATTTATTGAGCCGACAGGAAGGCAAGCACTTCACTAGTACCATCTCACACAGTTGTCCCAAGGAAGCTGTGAGGGGCGTCATCATCGACCCCTGGTGCAGAAGAGGGAGAGAGGCTCGGAGAAGTTAAGCAACAGCCTATGGTCCCATCGACCTTGGCCCGACGGTCCCATTGACCTTGAGCCTGTGGTCCCATTGACCTTGGCCCGATGGTCCCATCGACCTTGAGCCAATGGTCCTGTCGACCTTGACCCAATGGGGTCACATTCTATTCTCAATGCACCTCTGAATATGATCTAGGCTGGGAGACTCCTCTGCTCAAAATCCATCTTGGCCAAAGGAAAGGCCAAGATCCTCCAGAAGCCCGGGAGGTGGACCCCACCCCACGCCCCCTCTGCGCTCACCTCCTGCCCCCAGCACCCGGCCCGCGGGCGGTCCGGGGCACACCGCCCACCCACCCGCCTGCCACCCTGCCACAGAGCCTGTCCTTGGGCTGTCCTTGGGCTCTGTCCACAGTCACCTTCTCTGGAAGAGAAGTGGCCCAATCTCATCCTGCTCCCCAGTCCCCAAACAGTATTGATGTCCCCTGGGACACACCCTCCACATGACCCCACGTGAAAGCCGCCTGGGGACAGGTCGTGGCTCAAAGCGCGGCCGGCTTCCTGCACGGAGCGGGTGCTCGGTGAACCGGTCCTCGTCCGACGCCCGCGCAGGGGGGAGCTGTCCTTTCTGTCTGCGGTGCACTCATGTCCCAAGCCTGAACTTGAGAAGAAAGGAGCAAAATGTTGTGTGCACATTCAACCCGCAGTTCTGGATGAAACAGCGCAGGCAATGAGCTATTGACTGGAGCAATAAACAAAACTAAAGAGAAATGCTGCGCTAACTGGGGCTGCCTCACTTCTGAAAGGTCCACGGGACTTCAGCGAACCAGACAGACACTACTGAGAAAGAAATTTGGGTTGAATATAATAACGTGTCACCAAGAAACCCAGTAAAATGAAATCAAGGTTGAGAGTCAGGCACATTTGTTCAGGTTCAAAGAAATATGACAGTTCACACTTTAATGTTTCAGGTTTAAGTTAGCTTTGTTCTGCTGATAAATAAAAAATAATAGTCTTTGTTTTTCTTAACTAATGCCCATAAAAAGTCCCTAAAACCAGCAACCAAAACCCGCTGGCTCACAGTATGGGGAGTTGGCTTGCTTCAAAGCAAAGCCTTTATTGTCAGAAGTGATGGCAGCGCAGGTCTGTATTTCTGAAGAAGTCAGCTAACTTGCACGTGTTTTCCAGCGCTTACAATGACTGCCCCCTTGTTTGATCACAAATTTATTTATCTTCCTCCTTGTTTTTCACATGCCTTCCTAACCTGTTCACCGTCTCCCATCAGACTGTTTTATGTAAGGCAGGGACTTTGGCCAACTCTCGTGTATCCTAAGTGCTGTTTGTATGGTGTATTATAACAATGCCAGAGAAAAGTTAACAAATATAAAAATGTAGCTAATATATCAGATGCCATCGACCTCTACTAATTTATAGCCCCTTGCGTTAGCTTCATCTCATTAGCTCCTGTATCAGCATAAAGAACAGCTCCGCTCTCAGTGGTCCTGAGAACCCATCGCCGATGTGCGGAGGCTTCGGCAATGGTACACAGTGCCTCTGGACTTCCTTGTCTGGCCTTGCTGTTGTTTGTGTAAATTCTAAAGGGCAGGAAGCGAAGGTTAACATATCTGGCTTTACCTGTGGTGAGTAGATTTACGTGGGAGAAGGAGAAAGCAATTGCTTATTGGGGAAGACGCAGGCACTCTCCCATCTTTTGAAAATCAGTGTCTCCCAACGTGACGCGATCACCGTGTTCCTAAGGCCAGGGGCTTTCCACCCTGCGCCTGGCTGGGTGCGGCGTCACTGGGGGAGCAGCACCCTCCCTGCTCCGCGAACTGGGCACCCAGCAGCCCCGCTCTCGGCCCGAGGGCTGCTTTTGGAACAGGACAGAGTGTTCAGGCTGCAGGGCTCGCTTCCCAGGGAAAGGAAGGAATGCGTAGTCTCGCTTTACTCCCACAGGGCTTGTGGCGTTCGTTTCTCATCCCTTTTTGCTTTTATTTGGTTTCCAAATGGTTCATCGCGATTGCTCATGTTTCCTCCTTCCACAAAGGGCTTAAAGGAGAAACCATGCTCTTTTTTTGGAGAAAAAAAAAACAACTCAGGGAACTGTCTGCCCCGGGGCTTGAATTGGAATGAGGCTCAGTTGACGGACCGACAGTGATGGCGAGAGGCGCGGAGCGGGCGCGGGGAAGGATGAGCCCCTGGTGCCGAAGGAACAGAGTGGCTCCCGACCCGGCTGCCCACTCGGACCCGGGGCCAGCCTGCCCCTGCCCCGGCGCCAGGTGACGGGGTGTCAAAGCCATCCTCGTTTGGGAACAGAGATGTGCCCCGGGAGGCCTGTAACCTCCCCACTCCTGAGTGCTCCTGAGGGAGGGGCTGGAATGCGAACCCCGGGCGTCTCGCAGAACTTGGCTGCGCTTCCTCACCCGCAAAGCGAGGGGCTGGCCCCGGACCCCGGCCTCGCAGGGCTCGGCTTCCCCGGAGCGTCTGAAGGAGCGACAGCATCTACTCCCGCCAAGTAGGATCTGCTCAGGGGAACCAGAGCTCTCGGCTGGAGAGGCACCATAGCCCATTCTGTTAGATGCCCCCCGCCCTGCCAGAAGCGGCCCAAGATTCAGTCCAGCTGCTCTGTGTATTCTGGAAACTGCTCTTAAGAACCAACCCGCCTCCCAGTTCCCCAGTCCAGACCCCTTTTTCTATTTCTTCACTCACTGTTAGCATCTACAGACAACCACGGGAGGGATTTGTTTTTTTTTTTTTCGCATTGATACGTTCCTGTTTAATTAATGAAGGTTTGGCATTCTCGTACCTAGTCATCGGTCAAATTTACTGTCTTCTTACTAAACACACCAAAGACAATGTCACAAATCATTTACATAGTTAGCAGATGCTGGCAGATTTATGCGCCATAGGAAGTTGTATATCAAACGACACGAGTTAATGCTTGTTTCGTATGTTCAGTTGATTCCAGAGAGCTTTAACATTTTCCTTATGAGATTTAACAGCACATAAATAATGTCCACCAGCAAGCAGCCTTTACGTTTAAGAGAGAGACACACCCTTTGTTGAACTGACCACGGCTGTCTGAACCTGTTGGTTGGATCCTGACCATTCTGATCAGCTCGAGTGTTATTTTTTCAAATAAGTGGGTTAAATGGCTCGCCCCCGCAATGACGTGCACGACCCTGAAGAGATGCCTCGTTTGTGATGTGTTTCTCATCTCTCATTACGGGCGTGATCAGCCACGCGGGTGTGGGCGGAATGGTTTTGACGCCTGGTGTCAAACACAGACCTCTCCCTTTTCATTGGCCTTGTTTTTCCAGTATCCTGACTTTATTTCTTCTTAATCTTTTCTCATATTCACTCAAATTTAATCTTTTTTTCTTCCCCCTGAGAATGTGGTTTGTGAAGGTCCCTCCTATGGGGTGCTCTCATTTAGAAATCCCGTTAACAGAGCCTCTTTACCCTTGACTGTTGTGATTTTTGTGTATATGGTAGAAAAACATAAAATGCTATTTTTTCTTTTCTTTCAGTTTAGATTGGATTACCTTCTGTGATAAACTTTGATTATAAAATCAGTGTTGCTAAGTCCACATCACGTCAGGTATTCAAGTTTATACCTCCCACTTTTCTGTCTCTGGTTCATTTTGCCCTGTAGCTTTGACCCTATAATATTTAAACTATTTCTCATCTCATTCTTTGTCTCAGAAAAGAGGTTTCCTTACAGCATCACACAGTGCCTCTCAAAGAGACAGCACAGCCTGCCAAGTAAATTACAAGAATGTTTAAATCGGCAGAAGTTGTTAGGTTCAGAATTACATTATCTTTTCACCATGCATTATTAACTCTTAATAAGCTGTCCTGATATAAACATAACAGCTAATACTTCCATAAATGTAAAGTTAAGAAAATAAAGCAGTGTGTCAAAAAAAGTGCATCCAGGGTGAACTGATGAGAATCACCTCTTGTTTTTTTTTTTTTTTTCAAAGAGACGTGTTGGCCACAATCCAGCACACTCCCAATCCACGAGTCCTCGTTTTAACAAGATCCCAGGCATGTTTTTATACTGACATTTCAGGCTCCCTACTCTGCCCAATGTTGCTGGTCTTTTCACAGTGTTATTTCTTCAGTAGAATTCTTTCAACCTCCATAAATTATGATTAAAGGGTCAAAAAACAAGAATTGAGGAGAGTCCTAAAAAATAGAATGAAATTTGCTAGGTCAAATGAACAAGGTTTAAAAGCTATCCTGCCTTATGGTTTTAAAACATATTGAACTTTCAAGTTAACTTTCACCTAAGCAACTTCAAATTCTAGCCTTATGAGTCTCATAAGACATTTCCAAGCTCAGATTAGATCTGAGGGCGTTAGATATCACATGTTCGTTTTGGAAATGGATAACGGGGTGGCGTGGAGCACCTCAGTTGCTCCCCTTTTCATCTCGCTGGTGAGCAACTTGCGTGTTGCATCACCCAGCACTCCCGAAGTCCTCACCACGAGGACTCAGGAGAGGTGGGCGCAGAGTGCTCGCAGAACTCAGCCTCGACCCGGGACTCTCTTCAGCTCACTGTGCATTCTGTGTCCTGAGGCCCTGTGACCTTAACCCTGACCTTGGTATGAATGACCTTCAACTCCACGGGCTCAGACTCAGCCCCTTCTGCGTCCCAGGCTGGTACCGATGGCCTGTTGGCTTCTTCTGCAAGAAGGAGCTCCCTGGAGAAAATCAGAGTCCCACCAAGGCGAGGGGCCGCTCTCCCGCCCACCTGCGCTGTGACCACACCAGGCTTCTCTCTGCTGCTCATGTAGCGCTCCTGTTTCAGGACCTTCTCGACAGCATGCCCTGGGGCCCGGGGACATCCCCTGTGGTGGATTTCAGAGCCACCTGAGACTCGGTGGGGGTGGGGGCTGGAGAGGGACAGGCCCCCACTTCATTCTCTTTTTGGTGCCTGTTTAATAATTTAGCTGGACTTCCCTGATGACTCAGATGGTTAAGAGTCCACTTGTGATGAGGGAGCCCCAGTTTCCATCCACGCCTGGGTCAGGAAGATCCCCTGAATGAGGGCATGGCGATCCACTCACGTATGCTTGACCGGGGAATCCTGTGGACAGAGGAGCCTGGCGGGCTACAGTCCATGGGGTCCCAGAGAGTCAGACACGACTGAGTGACTGATACTCTTGCTTTAACACTCACTGATTTAGCTCCATCCCTCCAGGACAAGCCTCTTTAGGCACCAGTTTGACTGTCCACTCTCCTGCTAAGGCCATCAGGGACCATCTCGCCCTGCAGGGATGAAGCTCAGGTGTTTATTCTTTCCCCGGCCACGTCCCCTGTTCCTGGAGAGAAGTCCTCTCCTTCTCCTGGTGCGCCGCTTTGCCTTCTCTGGTTTCAGTCCTGGCTTCTGACACTTTGGTCTGCCATGCCCTGGGCTGGGTGTCTATCCCATCTCAGATCCTTCCCATCTTCAGGGGGCCTCCTCCTGAGCATACAATGGTCTTATTCTGCCTGGAATTCCTTCAGCTTGTCCTGTCCATTCCCACCTCCTTAAGCATAGGGATTTTTATAAAGCCTGTGTGGGACCCTGTCTTTTCACCTAAATCAAGGGGGTTCTTCTAGCCAGTGGGCCCTGACCCATCTTGTCAGGTGTGGTGGGGACTTGTGTATGTGTGTATATGAGCCACACCTTACCCAATGCCATATGCCCACATCTTACAGGACTAACCCACAATGGGGCGCTGGGTCCTCACTTTCAACGGTTTCAGCAGCCCTTCAGGTAGACCAGGCTTCTCTGAGGAAGCGATCCAGCTTCAGAGACATGGAGTGAACTGGGGGAGGTTAGGCGCTGGCCCGTAAATGTCACAGTGAGCACCAGAGAAGGCGGACTTTCTACCTGCCTGTCATCGTGCCTGACCTTGCAGGCTGGAATCCTGTCTCTTCCATCGCTAGCTTGCTGCGTGACCCTGGGCAAGTTACCTCACCTCTCAGTGCTACCTGAGATGGTGATGAGGATAAAAAGATCCTGCAGGATGTTTTGTGCAATCCTCGGCGCACAGGACATGCTGGATACAGTTGAGTTAGCCTCAGTAAAGGTAAAATCAAAATCATCAACTGTCCCATATCACCCACCAGGAGAAGGCCTTCATGAATTTCTGAAGTTAACTTACTTTCACCCTGTTACTCATTTTAACTCACTTAGAGAATTAAAGTAGGTGGACAATTCCAGAGCTGCGTGCAAGGGAGCTGGATTAAGATACAAATGCCTACGTTTCTTTCGCATATGCACAGATTTAAGCACCAGCTCCTCATAGCAGTAATTACAGAGCCGTGCAGGGATTCTAACACGTACACTTGTGGCAATAAGTGGCTTATTTAATGGAAGTCACGCGGCTACATCACTAAATGGGGTGAAACTAGACAGATGAACATTGTCATCTCTGCTCTGGATTCCCCAGCTTTTGTCTGATTGATTGATTCTGACAACCTTAACATTTTTCAAAAGGTGCAACATTATCTTTCAAGTTTTTAATATGTCAAAGGCAACCACACTGAGATTTGGTTGGATTAAGTTATCAAGCGCATTTACTTTCAAGAGGAACAGGACCATGGTTATGCTATATTCATACAAGTTTACTTTTTAAAGCACATCTGGAAAATCTTTTCCCAGTTGTTCATGTATGTTCCCTGTCTTTTCCCATCCCACCAGCTTTTTCTAATGTAACTACAGGATAGTGAGAAAACTGTGAACCTGGAGGATGGAGAGGATGATGAAGGTGAGGATGGAGAGGAGGGAGAGGAGAATGAAGGCGAGGAGGGAGAGGAGGATGAAGGCGAGGATGGAGAGGAGGAGAGGAGGCGGGAGAGGAGGAGAGGAGGATGGAGAGGAGGAGGGAAGGGTGGAGGGGTGGAGGGAGAAACCGCAGAAGCAGAGGCCAAGAGCCCATTAGGATCAACACTGCGGACTTAGCAGAGAGGCCCTGTCAACTTTGCAGAATCATTCACCCCTAGGACTTGGAGTCTGGAAGGACCCCAGAGTCACAGAGCTCTTGAGTCGTTAGTCAACCTATTTAAAACAGGGTTGGAATAAGAGAAATCTAATTTACATTTTTATGTAACTTTTTCTCTTTTTTGCAGTTTCGTGCACTCAGAAAGTCTTGACCATTTCTTGAAGGGAAAATTTGCAATTGTAGTCAATTTCCCATTAAAAGTTTGAGAGAAACATGATACTTCTTAAAGAACCTCTATTTGTTGCGCAGCTGTAGTCATTATAATTCTTTGAGATCCTCTGCTGAAAGGCACTATTTAAAGCACAAAGTACTTTTGAATATTAACTCATTAATCCTAACGACACCCTTGTGGGGAAGGTAGGTGGCAAAATGACTCATTCAAGGCCACATTAGGAAGTCAGTGGTAGAGTTTGGCACTTGGGAGAAGAGTTTCTAGACTTTTTAGAAGTGCTTTTCTCACTGAATTAGGCTGTCGGCTAGGAAGGGATCGGCAGGGAGTCCATGGACAGCCTTGGCGGTCACATATTTTCACTCATTCAACATACCATTCAGAGTTCTTGTCTGCAAACAAC